TGAATTCAGGAGAAACAAGTCATGTATTAGATCGCATCGTCACACTACGGATCATCATTGAGCAAAGCTTGGAATGGCAGTCACCTCTCTATCTCAACTTCATCGACTTTGAAAAGGCCTTCGACAGCGTCGATCGAGAGGTCATTTGGCAACTACTTCGCTACTACAGGGTGTTATCAGCAATTGTACATCTTATCCAACAGTTATACGACAATGCTGCACATGCCAAGTAATCCACAACGGGAAACTTACGGAATCCTTCGAAGTGAAGACTGGAGTAAGACAAGCTGGCTGCCTACTGTCTCCAATGATTTTCATGATTGTGGTAGAGACTGGATAATGCTACAGACAGCGCGTAACGAGGAGACAGGCGTAAAATGAACTTACACAATGTACTTGGAGGATCTGGACTTCACCGATGATATATGTCTGATTTCCCACAAACTGGAAGATATGCAGGTAAAAAGCAACAAGTTGGCAGAAGAAGCATCAAAGATAGGACTTCAGGTGAACATAGATAAAAACAGAGGTGATGAAGATTCCTAGCCAACATCAACAGCAACAACAACAACAGACAACAATCAGCCAGCATAAATGGGAGGAACCTGAAAGAAACAGCCTCCTTCACCTACCTGGGAAGCATCGTCTCAACTACAGGCGGAACTGACGAGGATATCAAGGCCAGAATCGGAAAAGCAAGACAATCTTTCATTACTCTGATAAAGTCTGTGTGGAGGTCAACAGCACTCAGCATGTAAATGAAAATAAGATCTGGATTTTCAACTCCAATGTGAAGTCAGTGCTTCTATACGGATCAGAGACTTGGAGAGTCATGAAGAGCATCTCAAACAAACTCCAGACCTTCATCAACAGTTGTCTTCTCTCAATACTCAATATCAGATGGCCGGCCAAAAAAGATCAGCAACAGAGATCTCTAGCAATGGGAGAACCAACCAGGAACCGATTGTGAAACAAATAGGCAGGGAGAAATGCAGATGGATTGGTCATACACTGAGAAAACCATCAAGTGACATCACTAGACAAGCCATTGCTCGAATAGAACCCGAATGGGAAGCGGCGAGTTGGTCGTCAGTGCAAGGGTGACTTGGAGGAGGTCATGTGAAGAGGAGATGAAAACATGTCGGCAGACTTTGAGCCAGGCGAAAACTTTGGCAGAGAACCGAAGACAATAGAGACGCTTGACTGAAGCCTTATGTTCCTCTAGGAATTAAAGGATATAATAATAATAGGTTCTTGGTTGGTTCCTTCTCACACAGAGTTTATTGTTGCTAATTCTTTCCGCAAATTATTCTTGAATATAGAGCGAAGTCATCTGTTGATGAAAGAATGTAATTACCTGTTGGAAATGCTTTTCATAGCGTGCACTGCAAGTTTCTGACCTACAGAGAAGAATTAGGTGACTTCAAATTTGTGTCGAATATCTGAATTTTGTTTCTTATAGTGACTGTGTGCAGAAGGTTTACAAATTGAATTCGGAGTGACGGTGGTTTGTCTCACCTTTATGATCCTTCCTGGCTTTGATCTTCTCATCCATTCTGTCACCTGTCGTTGAAAGGATGCTTCATAGATAAGTGAATTAGGTGACCTCCTTCAGGTTTATCCTGTTGCTGTAGATGGCAATGGTGGTTGGTTATCTTCCCCACCTCCGTCTTCCCTATGTTCACCTAGTGTCCTGTCTTCGCTGCCAGCTTCTTCTTTCAAATTGTTGGTTTTCTTTTGTATACGTTTGCACTTGTGTGACAGTAGACACAAACCTTCCTTAAAATCAAGATCTTCTAGAATTGTCTTACTGGTCCTGCATATTTCTGTCATTTCGCTTCTTACGAACAGTCTTCCTCATAATTCAGTCTAGAGCAATTAAGGAGATCTTGATTTGACACTAGTAACTAGTGTGATGTGTCTAATCCTCTCATTGGTGCAGACTGAATTCTGTCAGTCAGGTTTGCAATGTGGCCACCATTCTAGGTACCTCGCCATCACAGTGCACATTGGTTTGATGATATTAGATAGTTGGAAGCAATCGGCCACCGGAAGCCTTGGACCTAGGCTCCGTGCAAGTTGGTACTCGCAAGTCAGCAAGGCGTATCTGCAAACAACCTGAAGGAACTCATGATCCTCGTTCTGAGATTCGAACCCGCGTCCCCCGGTGAGTTCTGCAGTCAGAAATGTTACCACTGCGCTATTCGGGCTCGCGATTGATTTCCTGTGGGACTGTAGTGGATATTTTGATTTGAAACTAGTAACTAGTGTGATGTGTCTAGTCCTCTCATTGCTGCAGATTGAATTCTATCAGTCAAAATATCCACTACAGTCCCACAGGAGGTCAGTCGCGAGCCCGAATAGCTCAGTGGTAACGTCTCTGACTGCAGAACTCACGGGGTGATACGGGTTCGAATCTCAGAAGGGAAATGAGTTCTTTCAAGGTTGCAGATACGCCTTGCTGACTTGTGAGTGCCAACCAGCACGGAGCCTAGACCCGAGGCTTCCTGTGGCCAATTGCCTCCAACCATCTAATTTCACCAAATTAGGGAGATCGCTGGTGATAATATACAGCCAAGCTTGTCTTACTCCTGTGTTCGTTTCGAAGACTTTGTTGAGTTTTCTATTTTGGACCGCCTGGCACGTGCCATTGTCACATAGCTGTTGGACGAGGTTGATAAAGACTTGGGCACTGAACGCCATAGTGTTGTAGCAGTTTCCAAATTACACTAACAAAGGCTTTTTCAAAATCAATGAAATTGAGATGGATATTTGACTGTCATTCTGTGCTACGTTCAATGGTAACGATGATGCGTTCAATTGCAATTTCATGAGCACATGATCTTGCTTTCCCTGAATCCACCTTTGTTCTAAGTGGATTTAAATTAGATCAGCAAATAATATCAATCAATAAACCACTGAACACCACTCAGTATAGATGCCATTATACCTTTTCATAACATCTTAATGTTCAACAATATCTTAATTGGAACGTTTTTAGATTTTCCCCTCCAGATGACGAGCCCCAAATAGGACGAAATACGCATTCTGGATTCCACTGCTAATCATCATCCATCAAATAAATTCAACAATATCTCCAATTAACCTTAAAGGTTTTCAGTTCTATATAAGAATAGAACTTGTGCATTATGGTAGAATATATTTCCATTGTGGGTAAAATTTATTTTGATGAAGTGAAACAGTGTTGGTAATGCAGTAATATTTACTGATGACAACGTTTTGAGCACAATTTATCACTGCTCATAATCCCAATATCAAGGTACTCACACAACCTTCTACATTCGTTTATATGATTCCATCATTTTAGCTGATTGGTGGTAGTATTTTCCCTATTTCCGGTATGAGTAATAGGTCATTCCAATGCACGTGTTGTGTTGGGTGTAGACTCGATGAACAAGGATTCAGTAACCAGCCTCTCTCTCTACCTACCTAGATTACTTTTTAGAATTTTAACCCTCTTCCACCCTATGTTGTGTGACTGTGCGTTGTTAATGCATGTAGTGCAATCGCTGAGCTTTTTCCAAATTATTTATCTTCGTGGGGTCAACCATTCTTACCTCAGCTAAATTCTTATGTAAGAATTACATAAGGTAAGTAATTCAGAAAAAAGCTCAGCATTACATTGCACTGCATGCATCAACACACAACCACACAATAGGGTGGGAGGGAGTTAAAATTCTAAGAGGTAATATAGATAGATGGTTCACTGAAGAAGAGGGCTGTCGAGTGGTTGTGCTACAGGATGATCCTGCCTGTCGGTCTCGTCTTGCAAGAGGCGGGGATGGGTGTGTTTGGTTCTCCTGAAAACCAATGCCCAGTCGATGGGTGTATCTGTGCATAGGTGGCACGGCAGTTAGGACGATCGACGACTATGCACATGGTCCGGGTTTAGATCCCCGACCACAGACACACTCCTATACCTCGCTAAGCTAGAAATAATGCTGGTAAAGAAGGAAGGTTGTGCATGAGGCTAGCAACCTCATCCTGTATGAATAAACGCTACTACATAAACTTCAAGGCTCTAGCTTGAAGCCTTATGTTCCACTGGGAACGTGAAGAAATAAAAAAAATATAGGCAGAGGGAGACAGAGGTTGATTACTGATTCCTTTTTCACCAAGTCTACGACCAACACGTGCGATAGGAATGTCTTATCCCTCATACTGGAAATATGGAAAAAACTACTACCAATCAAGTCAAGCGATGAAATATGATGGAATCATATAAACGAAGTAGGAAGGTTGTATGAGTAGTGCCTTGATATTGGGATTATGACCAGTGATAAATTGTGCTCAAAACGTTGTCATCAGTAAATATTACTACTGTATAACAACACTGTTTCACTTTATCAAAATAAATTTTACCCATAATAGAATTTTCAATTTTATCCTTGATGATATCATCATGGATACGTGTCAGTGAAGTGTCCCAGAATACTACAACAAAACAGGTTATTCAACGAATCCGAATCTCCAACTGATATCAGTCAGTGATCTAACCATTACGCTTGAAAGATAGGATCAAGTGAGAGATTGACAAAGTTCACTTGTTCTTGTTGTTCTCATTGTTTTTTTCACTGTCCCTATATTCCTCGCCATTCATTTGCAATTCAAATAAATCAAAAATGATAAAAATTAAGTCTTAGTTATGGAGACAAGTGTCCATCATCGTTATTATTATTATTAATAATATTATTTTGATTGTTATCACTTATGTAATAGTTTAAAGAATACAATTATTAATAATAAAAACAACTTAATACATTTAGTACGAATGTACACCCCGTCCACACACACACACACCCATTCGAACAAACATAGATATATATAAACGTTGCTATGGTTACTATTCCCTATTTATAGAGTATTTTCGTTTTTGAAGAAGAATACATGAAAATCATATCGAGTTTCCCTAACATCTTGAAAAAGCAAAAGCGAAAACAAGATAGGAAAAGTAAAAAATAACTCAATGACACACTTACGCGAACAAATATCTGCGTACTTTTATCGCCAAATAGATAACGTCCTTCACCGATACGTGTCATTGGAAAGGTTTGTTTACAAGTACACTGAGAGAGTAATTCCCTTACCTAAGATAAAGTTAAGATGAGGGGAGAAATAAACAAACAAATAAGTAAACGAGTGAGGCGTTTAAGCTCTAACTAAGTAAAAATGAATGTACATTGTGAGAATACCAATTTTGTTAAAGATTCTGTACAGAAGAAACGTATACATACACATGGTCCATTTGATCGGGTCCCAGTACCTGGATGAATGGTCTATGAGCTAACTCGCCTTGTAACCAGAAGGTCCCGGGGTTCGAACCCTCGTGGTGGGTGCATACTGATGAAGAGTCTCCAACTAGGACGAAACAGCTGTCCAGTACTCCCAACTGGTTTTCCAATGGTTCTCTAACTGATGTCAGCTCATGATGAAATCTTCGAACCAATCAAACTAAACTCCTACAAAAAATCAATACTTGAACATATATATATATATATATGACTTTACTGTTTAAAGGAGACTCAGCCATTGAGTTACTGGTGTCGAAACTTGGTTGGAAAAATTATAGCTAAAACGTTTTTCGCCGCAACATTCACCATTTGTTGTATAAATCCAGTGTAGGTGAAGGATAAGCTACCGTGTCTGGCCACTTCAGTGAGTATTTATGTGGTGAGAGCTGGTTGTTAGTCGAAATTGGTGGACAGTAATTTACGTCAATATCTATGTCCCTCAATAACGGCCGTTAGGAAGATGAGAACAAAGACTTTGCGTAGACGGATACAGTTAACATATAGATGATCTGACATTTAAGAAACAATCACAAAGAGATGCATGGTTAACTTTCTGTGACTGTGTTTTTCGGCTAACAACAATCTATAATAATGTACATGAAAATCTATAAATATGTGTCGATTTCCTTAATAAACGATCTGTTGCCTGAGTGGCCCTTGTATTCTGTCGTTACATTTATAACTTTAATTGGTCATGTGGAAACAGTTACATAGATAGAACGACTGAGTAAATTCGCCTTCGCCTTCTTGAGCACTGTACAACATGGTTAGGTAAAAAAGTCGTCAAGTCAATCAGAATTTCTATAGTGGTACACGTATTGGTGGATACGGTGCACAAGATTTATAAAAAAACCCCAACCTTTACAGTTCTATACAAAATGCCACTTCAACTCCCTAAATTTTTACACCTTTGCTTGCTAGGCATGAATCAGGCAGTTTCCATAAAACGAAATTTCCAACACAATCTCTGCATTCAGAAAAAGCTTGTTCAATCTCTCTTCCCCTCCTTTGGCCATATAGTTGTGTTCTCTGAGGTGGATGGTTCATTTGCGAAGCTTTCATTGCCCGCCCTACTAGGCAACATCCTCATTGAGTACTTCAATCCTACTTCAAAATGAAGTCTACTTGCTTAAATCTTGTTTTATAATTACGAGTTGATCACAGATTGATATCAGTAAGAGAACTATTGAAAACCATTAGTGGAGTACTGGACAGCCAGCTGTTTCATCCCACTAGTTTCGGAATCATCGGCAGTGCGCATCCACCGCCAAGTTTCGGACCAAGGACCTTCCAGCTACAACGCCAGCTCGTATAACATTCAGCCACTGGGATCCGATTCAATAACCCATGGTAGTCTTGCTAAATCACGAATTGATAGAAGTTAGAATTCACGAGCTGACCATTGAGGAGTTAGCTCCAAGTGGCTGAACGGTGTACGAGCTTGCCTTGTGACCGGAAGACCATGGGTTTGTACCCTGGTGGCGGGTGCGTACTGCCGATGATTCCCAGCCATGTTTTGGTTTGACTACCACTAGCTCTTTTCCAGTTTAATCGTATGTAAGCAAACGTTTTTCATTGAGAAAGGCGATGACTATGTATGCGTAAAACATGTTCTAACCACCTAACTCAATCGTTGTAATTTCACAACCTCGTCAATTAAAATCCCTTCCTCTCCTAGCCCTCAGTCGATGCCTCACCTCAACAACATGCGAGATAGAGCGAAGGCACATATGATCAAAGACAGTTAGTCTTCTCATATCCTCCACAACTCATGGTCATGTCTCATAGCTATAAAGGGGAACGGAGCAAACTGCTAAGCAGTATACTTGCCCTTTGACCGGTAGACAAATATAGAGTAAACACCAGAGTTGATATAGATTGGCGAATGCCACTCCAAACTTTTGTATCTGTACTGTGATCTCGCCACCAGGAATCAGCCCATTATTGAAGATGCAGCTTCCCAAATAAGTGAAGTGTTCAACACTACGAAGAGAGGATCCAAAAAGCACGAATATGAGTAACACATATTGTAGAAGGACTAGTGATAAGACCCAATTGTCTCGGTTGAAGTAGTTGGTGAGTGAAGACTCAAACCAAGGACCCATTAGTTGAAAGCCGAATACTTAATCCAATGAGTAACATTCACACAAATGAAACTATGCAAACAAACTTAATTGTTCTCATGTAGGCCAAAATGATCAGTAACAAAAACCGATTTCAACTTATAACAGTTGAAATATGCCAAATGGTGTGCCATCTAACAGTCCTTCAAACCACTTGTATGAAAACAAAAATAATCGTGGAAATTTCATTAAATCTCTCACAGACGAAATGTAAAGTGGACTAAATCTAAAGACACATACACGTATAAGTTTCCAGTGTATACTCTCACAATAGCATTGAATTGGATAGACTTTTATTTATATTATAGATATTAAAATATTTACTATATAATAAGTACACAGTGAATATTCTCACGTGAAAATTAATGTCTATTACTTTAATTCAATAACTAAGGTACAGTACAAATACCCCCTAGTGTGTTCGCTATGTGCCAGTTATGTACCGTGATACTTATAGCTAACTGATGCTAATTTTTATTATAATTAATATACTGGATTGTTCCCTTGAGTTCAGAATCTCTCTGTCTGTCCGTTTTCCACATAGAACTTTGCACCAGCGTGCAACAGTTCGAGTCGAAACACTCCTTCCATGTAGCACACAAAGCAAGAGAAGAAAGTAGAAGAAATGCAAAACAGATATAGTAAACAGGGATGTGAGACAAAGGAATAGTAATAACGAAGAACAATATAGTTTCATTGGGTATTATAAGTCACAAGGAGTGGATGCATCTGCGCCAGCCACATCACCAACTGTCACTAGCTGTTTACCGTCCCGAGGACCCAAGCCAGTCAGGAAGTCTGCACCTTCCTACTTGGCTTAATCTAAATGTTGGGGACTTGATTGATTGATTGATGAAGCCATGTTTTGGTTTGACCACCACTAGTTAACTCTTTTCCAACCTGATCCATCCTATTTCAGCTAATATTGCTCGTTGTCGAAGAAGGCAATGGCTACGCTAGCATGCGTAACACATATCCTGACCATATCAATCAATATAACTTCACAGCCTTGTCGACTGATTTCCTCTCCCTCCTTACCTAGCACTCGACCAATGCCTAACATCAATATTGCTTACTCTATTATACAATAGACTAAAGACAGCTTGCTGGTCCTTCTATGTCTTCTACTCTCAATGGCCATGTCTAACTCGCAGACATAAAGAAGGACGGAGAGAACTGCTGAGCAGTACACACGCTCTTTGATCGACAGCCAGTCGGATGTCACGTCTACACCAGAGACACCGTAAACTGGTATATGCGAAACTAGCCTTCTCTATCCGTGCTGAGATTACGTCAGCGATCAACCTACTGGCGCTGGCTGATGCAACTTCCCAAATAAATGAAGTGGTCAACACGCTCCACTAACCCCTCCTCTTCCTATTTCTAAGCTGGGAGTTAGTCAACGTGGTCCAGTCCTGTAACATCATCTTACATTTGACGGGACAGAATATATGTGTAGAGTATATGGGCCTCAGTAGCACACCAACATTTTAATGTCTTCTCAGCAGTTTATTTTAGCTGGCTTAGTGAATGGCCATTAATTTTTGTTTGCTCCTCATATGAGATCTCTTCCATGTCAGTGTCAGACACGCAACTTGTCGTTTCCAATGACGGCGAAAGGTGGATTTCACCTAGTTTTAAAGAAGAACCATAAATGACAGGGTCCACCACTCACACTGGATTGCAAGGTTGCTATTTGATTCTAACTCACAGGCTGAATAGTAGCGTGTCAGTCAGGTAACTTGACAGTTATGGACTACCTAGAAGTTGATATGTTTATTTTTATCCTTTTTTTAATGCAGAAGACATAGGGGAGGGGCGTTAACTAGAATACAACAATCATAAGGAACATTGAACACAACAAGAGAAACTTTTACACAAGCTTTATCTTAGTTATTACTGTCTCATCGACAGAATTGTTCCAACTTGATAAAAATTCATCAGTGTTAGAAAATATGATTGACAAATAATAATCTTAACTATCTATCTATGGATCTACCTGTCTATCAATAAAGTAAAATAACACTATTTTGTTAAAAATTTGTTTAAATGCATCAATGTCAAATATAAACTTATCAAATATAGTGTGGTAAATTTAAATTCAACTTTTTAACAGGTAGGTACATGCAGGTTATAAAACTCTCTGCGTGTGTGTGTGTGTGTGCGTGTCAGTTTCTAGATCAGTTTACCCACCCGCTCGAAACCACCTCCAACAAGGTGTGTGATCCAGGATAGTAGAAAAAAGTCTAATCTCATTATTCACCTGCCATCTTCCTCTCTTATCATGCCTGTTCCATAAGGGAAATATGAGAAAAGCCTGAAAAAAAGTTAATGGCCAAGTATTTGGACAATAACAATTCATTAATAATGTAGTCAAATGTCCATCTATGCATGTGTGTATATATTTATCATAAATCGTTAAGCTGGCTTTATATATAATCATTGTGTATGAATCATACTACATGCTGTATTGTTTTTACGGGATAGGGTTGTTAGCCTCATGCCTAACCTTCCCTCTTCACCGGTCTTATTAATTTTTTTTTTTTATTTTTTTTTTATTTTTACTGGCTTAGCGAGGTAAAGAAGTACCTCGTCGGCAGGGGATCGGACCCCCGACTACATGCGTGGTTGGGGAGCCCTCTACCGTTGTGCCACCGACACACGCTTAGTCTA